GGGGGCAAGGAGGCGGGGGTATATATATGTGGCATTAGGACGGGCGGCGCGCTGGGCTGAAATTGATTAGTGTCATCATCCCCCCAGCCCATCGCGGTTGGCCGAAACGTGGAGGAATTGGAATATCTTTTTTTCCCTTTCCCTTTTCGATTTGTTCCCTCCTCTCCATTCCGCTCTCTCCGTCACCCGCTCCCTCCGGTGCTGCCATCCTCCTACTCCCTTTCCCTCTGCCCCGCTCCCTCCTCTCCCTCGTACTCCTTACATTTTATTCGATTTAAGGGGCGGGAGCGGTGCGGTCCAGGGGGCGGGTGGGGGCGGGGGGCAGAGAAGTCCTTAATCCGACCGAAGATGATGAATGTAGTGGCTTCTGGACAGGAGGGCGACCCGCGGCTGCGAGAGGTGGCGCGCGCAGGCGGAGAGGAGAGGAGAGAGAGAGAGAATTGAATTGGTTTATTTGGGGTCCAGAGAGAGAGAGAGAGAGAGAGGGGGGGAAAGAGAGAGGGAGAGAGAGAGAGAGAGCAGTGATAGAGATCGCGCAGCGGCGGGTGGACTCACTGGGCTGGGCAGCGAGCCAGATGCTATCGGGGATAACCGACGAGGTGACGGCGGGGAGTGCCACATCCTGAGCACCTCCAGGACGCTCCAGACTCGCAGACTCCGTGGGCCACGGGCCGGGCTGCACTCCACACTACTGGCAGAGAGCGCCCACCCCGCCGGCCCGCTTCACCCCCGTTTGCAGAACGAGGCCTGGGACTTGCGGATGTCTCTTTACGATGAGCAAGTTTTTAATTGTCTCCTGCGCCAGTCCGGCAGGCCCATGTTTATGTGCGGGACGTGACGTCGGCCGGGCCCCGGGGACGAGGGGACGGGAATATTTCGAAGAGTGTTGAAATAACAATGACGTATGCAAAAAATAAAAAAAATGAGTAAAAATATCACTAGGAACGGGGAGTACAAAACGTAGGAGACGTAGAGTCCAAAATTAATTTTGTCTCAGGGAATGAACTTGTTTTGTAACCTTTAACCGAAAGAAACAAAAAAACACTCGGTTTTGGCGAAAATCGTGCACTTGAAGCATGCAAGAACATTTATTACAACGCTGTTTTAAACATTGACAAACTTGTTCAACTGTAAGAATGCAACTGTGTGTAACTGCAAGTTGAATTCTTGCAAGCAAGTGTGCATCAGTTAAAAGCACTTCCTACACTGTGACCGTTCAATCTAAGAAATTGCTCAACTAAGGATGAGCATACTTGCAAGTGTAAGACTACGGAGTTGCATGCTTACAACAATTTAACTTGCAGTTGCACACTTACAGGTGTTGAACAGTTGCACACTTAGTTCATCAGTGAAGACACATGCTTCCTTTAGTGAGTTTTGATTTGATAACTACGTATCGGGGCAGGCCAACCCGCCACACACGCATGCACTCAAGTCAGGATGTTGCCTAGCCTTAAGGGGACACTATGGTGAAATTTGGAAGTCTGGGAGCCTATGTTTCTGAACATTTTCCTTTTCAATTTCTTAAAGCATTCACAAAATAGGCCCTTCTCAAGCTTTCCCAGAATTTTAGGAGCCACCCAAAGCTCTGAAAATCCTTAAGTATGTTAAAACAGGCCTATCTTTGAAAAGTTCCATGTGCAAACTGGTTTGAGTTATATTGCCAAATCTTATGTTAAAATGTTCTATTATACACTAATATTAAAACCCGGCACGGATATCAAAATCAAACAACAGTTGTGTCCTCACTACATTTTCCAATAGGAAGACCATGAAAACTCTTCAGGAGTTAGTACCTTTGGCGTGTGTGGGTGGCTTAGACATCTTCGTTGTTGTTGACAATGCCGGCAAATTAAGTTCAATACCAAACCATTAAATGCATATGAGCCCCAAAGTTCCATTTCTAATAGATTTGCGCAGGGAATCTTTCAAAAACTGCGATTTTTGGACCAAAAATGTCCTCATTTTTTTCACCATAGTGTCCCCTTAAGTCAAGTCCTTCCTCGCCTTCCCGTGGCACAAGAACATGCGCTCCGCAATGTACACTCTCCGACACTCTCAGATTCCTTATGGAGAATTTCGATGATTTTGTTATTAGCTATTAACGTATTTGTGCAATTACAAGGTAACGACAAATTTGGTAATTGGTAGCCACATATTTTCTCACCAGATGTCAACAACATTGAGGTGGAATCATTCCGAACGTGCACCCATCAACAACCGTTCCGACAATGTGAGGTCTCATAGCGCCTGATGGCTAGGCAACATCCCGACTTCAGTGCATGCGTGTGTGGCGGGTTGGCCTACCCCGAGTCTCGCAGGCGCCGAGCTCTCGTTCAGCCACTTGTCACGATAGTAACTCAAATTTAGACACATTTAGACAACTAATTTGTTTTTCCGCCGTGTCGGAGGCGCGGTATATGGTTCATCCCTTTGGTATAACCCCCCCCCCCGCACACAAACATTTCACGCCAAGCCCCTGCGCTGCGGAACACCTGCTACACGGCTCGGCGACTACCAACAGGCCAAAAGTTAAGCATTACGATATTTGCGCACGCGGCACTTAACAGCCAGATAGGACACTCATTCGTTCTAGATTTTGTTCTAGATGACAACTTTTCAGGTACGCTACCCTCGGGTACCTC